GTTCTTTTTCTTCTCAATTGCAGTAAAAAACCTGTTTGTTTTTCGGTGATACCTTGGTAGGAGGTTTCATGATAATCTTTCTTTGTTGGTATTCATTAGATGCACCCGAGGGGCCGAATGTTCCGCTTTCCGCAAGGCCGTGGGAGTGGTGGCCCCCCTGATGTTCCTGGAATGCTTCCATATGAGATGCCTAGTAATATGCCATTGCGTGACTCTGTGCTTTCTCAGCATGTTCCTATTGGAGCTTTGGCTACATCCCTTGCTAATGCTTCTCCAGAACACCAGAGGACGGTGAGAAAGCTTTTTTTCTTTTCACTTTGTATCCTTGCGGTTTAGTTCTTAAATCTTGATTGTGATGTGTGTAGATGCTGGGTGAGAATCTGTACCCGCTGGTAGAGCAGCTAGAGGCAGAGTCTGCAGCCAAAGTGACTGGGATGCTTTTGGAGATGGATCAGACTGAAGTGCTCCATCTCTTGGAGTCACCTGAAGCTCTAAAGGCTAAAGTAGCCGAGGCAATGGACGTTCTCAGAAGTGTCGCTGCTGGTGGTGCAGCCGAGCAGCTTGCCTCCTTGAACCTCAGCGACAACCTTGTCTCTTAAGTGTTCTTGTCTTTCTGTTCGATTGAGAAATTACAGTTTTTTTTCGAAGTGTGGCTTTGTCTCTTCCATACACGATTGGAGAGACCTCTCAGAGTTTCTTGTTTTTTTTCCTATCCTGTAGGATTCTCTGACATGGTTTCTGCTTCTCCCTCTACCCTCAAAACTTATATGTTTTGTTTGATTTGATATTCATATTTTGGTTTGTTATTTGAAAACTCAATATGTTTTGTCATATTATAGTGTTAGTGTTAATCATAGTGTTAACAAGTATAGCAAATACAATTAAAGATCTTTACGGTTAGAGAAATGATGCAAGCTATAAATCATGGAAGACAATAAAAAAAATCGAAAATGACTAGCTATTGGATTTCGTGTAGCGTGGTTTTTGATAGAATCCGATGCTCGTCCAATCTTATTTCTAAAGGAAGTTGAGTGATTAAGTGGCGTTGGGTCGGTCACTCTGAAAAAGATTGCACCCCTAGATTTGCCAGCTTCAGAAACAT